TCTTTCTGCCTCCTTCTCCTCCCCTCTCTCCTCTCTCTCTCCTCCCCCCCTTTCATCTCTCTCCCCCTCCCTTCCTCCTTCCCTGCCCTCCCCTACCCCCAGATCCCAAGGATGCAATGTTCTTAAGCTGGGGTTTTGTTGGCAGAGGCTCTAAACCCCTTTGGAGGCCTTGGACTCCATATCAGCCTCCAACGGACACACACACATCCTTGTGGTAGAAGAAGAGTTGTTTGTTCCCCCGGAGATCCCAGAACCATGAAGGGGAGACCCAGGGGTGGGAGGAATCCTAGCCAGTCTCCCCATGTCACCCCCCCACACACACACATACCGTGGGCCCCAGCGCTGAGGCCTCCCTCTCCCCCCTTCCCCCCAGCCCCGCCCCCAAGTTGGGTTATTCTCCTGATTCAGACATTTTTGTGGTGTGAAGTCACACGTCAGCCCAGCTGGGCAGCCACTGGGCCCCAGGCCGCTGCAGCCCAGCCCGGCCTGGCCTTCTCCTGCCACGTCCTGTGCCCTCAGCCCCTTCCTGCCAAGATGCCATCTGATTTCCTGCCGCTAGTGCAAAGAGCAGACACAGTGTCCAGGACAAGTGGTATTGGCCTCTGTCCTTACCACCAACGCCAGAGAAGAGCCATGCGAGGGATTCCTTCAATCAAGGCAGAGAAAGAGTCCTCAGTCCAAGGGAGACAGAGAGGCTGAGGCCACAGAGAAAGAGGAAACCAGACACGGGAAGAGAAAGAGACACAAAGGTGATGAAGAGAGACAGAAAAGGATCCGCACAGATAGAAATCACACGTGGAGACAACTTCTGGAAACAGGCCCAGGGGTGTGGTTCAAGTGGAAGAGCACTTGCCCAGCAAATCCCAGTGTTGCATAAAAGAAAGAAAGAGAGAAAGAAGGAAAGGAAGAAAGGAAAGGAAAGGCTCAGTGGTAGAGTGCTTGCCTAGCATCCATGAAGCCCTGGGTTCGATTCCTCAGTACCACATCCACAGAAAAAGCCAGAAGTAGAGCTGTGGCTCACGTGGTAGAGTGCTAATCTTGAGCAAAAGAAACTCAGGAAAGAACAATATTCAGGCCCTGAGTTCAAGCCCCCCCAGAACTGGCTTTAAAAAAAAAAGTCAGCTGGGTACTGGTGACTCACATCTGTAATCCTCAAGAGGCTGAGAGCTGAAGACTGCAGTTCAAAGCCAGCCCAAGCAGAAAAATCCCTGAGCATCTTACCTCCAATTAACCATCAAAAAGCCACAAGTGGAGGTGTGGCTCCAATGGTAAAGCACCAGCCTTGGGTGGAAAAGCCAAGTAAGAGTATGAGGCCCTGAGTTTAAACCCCACTACCAGCACCCCCTCCTCAGAGAGAAGGGGTGCTGGATCCCGGTCCAAAACCTTTCATCTAAGGACCCTTGTCTGGGCGTTATTTTTATGGGGCTGTGAACTGTTTTGTTTGTTTTGCCAGTCCTGGGACTTGAACTCAGGGCCTGGGCACTGTTCCTGAGCTTCTTTTGCTCAAGGCTAGCGCTCTACCACTTGAGCCACAGCACCACTTCCGGCTTTTTCCGTGTATGTGGTACTGAGGAATCGAACCCAGGGCTTCACGCATGCTAGGCGAGCACTCTACCACTGAGCCACCTTCCCAGCCCCATGGACTGGGGGCTATTGATTACAGCCCTGACTCAGGTCACTGTGAATGCTTAGGTTTCTGCCCCTTGACACAGGGAACTCCCGAGGTGACACAGCTTGACTTCCTTGTAGGACGTGATCAGTATGGCGTGTGAGCCAGCACTGGCCCCCTCCCCACATTCTATCAGAGCCCATCCATCCACGTGTCTTCGCTCCCCAAGGGACATTTATCAGCCTGCTGATTTCATTGACATGGCCAATTTGTTTTGGATCTGTGTGAGTCACGCTTTGAAAGTAGCCAAAGCTGGACTTTGGTAAGAGAGGCAGAATGAGAATTGTTCCGTTATCAACAACTCACCACCGGGGTTTTAGGAGATGTTTACTTTTCTACCATTAAAAAAAAGAAGAGCAAAGAGCATGTTCTACCAGGTGTGGTCACAGATACCTGTAATCCCAGCACCGGGGAGGCAGAGGCAGAAGCAGGCTGAATTGGAAGCCAGTCTGGGCTATCAGGAAACAAAACAATCATCAGTATTTGAAAGCTTAAGTAATAATATTATAATAACTATTATTATTATTGTGCTAGTCCTGGGGCTTGATCTCAGGGCCTGGGCACTGTCCCTGAGCTTTTTTTGCTCAAGACTAGCACTCTACCACTTGAGCCCCAGCTCCACATGTGGCTTTCTTAGTAGTTAATTGGTGATAAGCATCTCACAGGCTTGCTGGCCCTGCCTGGCTTCAAATTATGATGCTCAGCCCCCAGAGTAGCTAGGATTACAGGAACCATGAGTGGCCAGTTTGAGTTCTCTACCTCTTGAGCTATACCCTCCCAGGCCTCAATTTCTCCTTCCCTGCTCTCCTCTTTTCTCCCTCCTTTGGCCTCACACTCATGATTCATTGGCCTCACTGCTGGGATTACAGGCATGCGCTACCGTGCTCAGCTCGAAGTCTAATTTCAGAAAAAGGAGATGCTGTCCCTTTTGTGGCTGAAAAGGAACACGAAGGCAGGCAAGTCACCGGAAGGGACAAGAAGAAGACCTAGTTGGGAAGAAAGTTTGTTCCAGCTTCTGGAAGGAGCTGAAGCAGCATCTGGAGTTTGCTGTCTGGGTCACAGAAATAATTGAGATGACTCCACACCCAGCTATGCAGGGCAGGCTGCTCCAATTCTTAGCAGAATTGGCCTTCCTCTTTCCAGGCATGTGAATAATTCCTTCCCTTTGGGGGCTGGGCCTCTTCTGGAGTTTTCTTCTTTCCTGGAGAGGGCTGGGGAGGGGTGAGAGGAAAGAATATGGGCGTTAGCAAAGTCTTGGGACGTGAGACCTGAGGAGAAGTTCTGAGTCTCCACCAAATTGCTTCCAACACAAAATAATAATGACAATAGCAATCTGGCGGCTGGGAAGGTGGCGTCGTGGTAGAGTGCTTGCCTAACATGCATGAAGCCCTGGGTTCGATTCCCCAGTACCACATGAACAGAAAAAGCCAGAAATGGCGTTGTGGCACAAATGGTAGCGTGTTAGCCTTGAGCAAAAGATCTCAGGGACAGTGCCCAGGCCCTGAGTTCAAGTCCTACAACTGCCAAACTAGAGCTAATCATGTGAAGTAAGAACAACAAAATCCAGGCTCCGAAAAAGCAAATATAGAAGCAGATCTGAAAGTAGGAGCAGCGGCTGAATGCTGGTGACTCACCCCTAGCCACTTCTGGAGGCTGAGATCTGAGGATTGTAGTTGGAGGCCAGCCTGAGCAGCAAAGTATACAAGGCTCTGTCTCTAATTAACCAGCAAAATGCTACACTGCAGATGTGGCTCAATGGTCAAGTGCCATCCCGGAGTGCGTGTACCCCAAAGAAAATAAAGCCCACAGGTCTTGGGTCGGGTGTTTTGTGATATTACCTAGTAGTTAGGTAATAGGAAGGAGGCGAGAGAATTAGATGAGAAAGGAAATGGAGCTTTCTGTGACATTCATTAGATCCCTTTTCATGTTTTTTTTTTTTTTGGGTCCGGTCGTGGGGCCTGAACTCTGGGCCTGGGCGCTGTCCCTCAGCTCTTCAGCTCA